AGAGAGGATATAGGAAGTCTTATCGTGCACCCCCTCTCCCCTTTACTCATTATTTTACAATTCTGCGCTCAAAAGCTCCAGAAATCATCTCAAGGAGAAGAGAACAGTGTGTGTGAGGAGAAGAGAACATGGAGTGTGTGAGGAGAAAGAGAACATGGAGTGTGTGAGGAGAAAGAGAACATGGAGTGTGTGAGGAGAAGAGAACATGGAAAGTTATTTGTATTCAAATCCAGAGCTAATACGTCAAGTAAGTCTATTTCATTCTACTGCAGCACTTTCTCTATTGGAAGTGGCTTGGTGTGTGTGTGTGTGTGTGTGTGTGTGTGTGTGTGTTGTGTGTGTGTGTGTGTGTGTGTGTGTGTGTGTGTGTGTGTGTGTGTGTGTGTGTGTGTGTGTGTGTGTGTGTGTGTGTGTGTGTGTGTGTGTGTGTGTGTGTGTGTGTGTGTGTGTGTGTGTGTGTGTGTGTGTGTGCAGGCGTCACACAGAGAGACATTTCTCCACCAGTTCTGTGGTTTAAAGACTTGGCTCTTATTTGTTTAAGTTAAATCCCCTACATGTTTCTTAAAGCAATGAGGCTTAAAGGTCCCATGTCACGGCCATTTCTACTGATCATAGTTCCATAGTTGAGGTCTACTAGAATAGATTTACATTGTTCAATGTTCCAAACTCACATTGGTTTCTCAAACAGCATCTCTGTATGTGTATTCACTCTCTGTCCTACACGGCTTGTTGGAGCTCCTGCCCCCCCCCCTCCCTGTGAGCCCAGCTCTGATTGGTCGGGACGTTGCGAGGCTCGTTGCTGCGAGGAGCGGACAGGTTTCCGTGTCGGCGATACAGCGAGAACAAGCGAAACTCATCCTGAGCACACAAACACTCACAGCCGAAGTAAAAACAATAAGTGTGGCTTGATATTGAGTAAGAGGTTTCTAACGCTGTGAGAATGGGTCTGCAGAGAGCATCTCTCCACCATCCCAACTCGTCTATTACCAGCGTTCAGGGAGCTCTATGCAAGTCAATGGGGACTCCCTGTTAGTTAGCCAAGGGATCCTGGTGTGTGAGGTGCTCCAAGGATTGGTCCATTTGGGCCAATCCGGTCATTTGTTGTTGATCTGGGTGTTCACACGTCACTGAACCAGGAAGCAAACAATGGAAAAAGAGAAATGTCCAACGAGGCGTTCTGGGGCAGCATAGACAGGTCTTCTCTGTGTTAGAGCTTTACTCTCTACAGGGTGCACTTTGAGGGTTTGTGACTCTGCAGACCGTTTACATGCAGAAGCTTCATAACACAAGGGGACGGGTAATAACCAGGAAGGCATGAGATGGCCTTAAAGCTGTGTCTAATTAGTGGAACATGTATGAGGGAATTGCAGGAAAGTCCTCTAAATCTTGGTCATGCACAAAAGAAAGTGTGTATGGAGCAAAGGGTTAGCATCACTGGATATTATCTCGCTAAACTAAATACTAAATAAAACAACGACTTTACCCACAACTACGTGCCTTTCTACGACTTCTTTCTGCACATCTCTCAAAGATTGAAATGTTTTATTGTCATATGCACAAAGCTACAGCTCCTCCAACAATGCAGACCTCTGGAATGTCCAAATAGACCAATCAGAATCGAGTATTCAACTAAGCCGTGTGATTAGTGAGGGCTAATGTGCAGCGAGGCGGTCATGAAGGGTGTTCTTCATAATGACCGCCTCGCTGCACATTATCCCGCTTATTACACGGTCACATTCTCAACAAAGTAACGACATGACCCCCAATATTAAAATAGTCCGTTGTTACCGTTTGAACTACGTAGCAACAGCAGGAACTGCTTCGATAGCGTTTTTTGAGGAGCTTTTTGATTACAGATTTGAAAACATCGTTGCTTGCTTTAAAAGTAGCACACTCCATGATGTCAGACCTTTGGAAGGATCTAGATATCCCTGCCCTCATGCCAAAGGAACTGCACACTGAATATGTGTCGCCGTTTGATGTCTGGACCGTTGCGTGTTGATGGTTTCTGCCCCGTTGCTGTCAAACTCTGTTGGTGGTTTTTCAATCAGCCAGTCTTTCAATAGTTCCATAGCCCATAATGTGGTCCGTCTTTAAATAGTTCCATAACCCATAATGTGGTCCGTCTTTAAATAGTTCCATAACCCATAATGTGGTCCGTCTTTAAATAGTTTCATAACCCATAATGTGGTCCGTCTTTAAATAGTTTCATAACCCATAATGTGGTCCGTCTTTAAATAGTTTCATAACCCATAATGTGGTCCGTCTTTAAATAGTTCCATAACCCATAATGTGGTCCGTCTTTAAATAGTTCCATAACCCATAATGTGGTCCGTCTTTAAATAGTTCCATAACCCATAATGTGGTCCGTCTTTAAATAGTTTCATAACCCATAATGTGGTCCGTCTTTAAATAGTTTCATAACCCATAATGTGGTCCGTCTTTAAATAGTTTCATAACCCATAATGTGGTCCGTCTTTAAATAGTTCCATAACCCATAATGTGGTCCGTCTTTAAATAGTTCCATAACCCATAATGTGGTCCGTCTTTAAATAGTTCCATAACCCATAATGTGGTCCGTCTTTAAATAGTTCCATAACCCATAATGTGGTCCGTCTTTAAATAGTTCCATAACCCATAATGTGGTCCGTCTTTTCGCCTCTCTTACTTCTCCACTGTTTTCTTGTCCCTCTTGTCTTTTTCTTTTCTTCGCCGGGGACTCATCAGCCACTAACCATTCATCCTGTGCTCTCCAAATATATTCAAATGAATATTAAAATCCTCCATGTTGCTCTCACACGGGAGACAACGGGAAACTAAAGACAAGCAAACAGTTCAATCGACCGGACTTGTTTGTGCAGATGTGAGCGTCCATAGCAACGGTCAATAAGTCCTTGACAGCGGTCTGTCTGTTCTGGATTAACAATGTGTCACGTGTTCTGAATTGACCAATCAGAATCGAGTATTCAACTAAGCCATGTAATAATTGAATCTATTGCACTGGCTAGACTCTTGATGATCTGAATTGGGAGTTAAGTATCTATTTATTTGAGAAGGGACGGTTCCTATTCATTAAAATGAGCACTCGAGTAAATGAGCTACATTTAGCCGTAAAAGTTCATTTAGTCTTTTTATTCCCAAAACACGTGAACTGTTCGTCTCTGGGGATCGATCGCACTTATTGTCAGATAGAGATTCGATTAGATTCAATGGGATTAGATGTACTTTATTGATCGATTGATCTGATATTGGGAAATCGTTGCCACTGCAGAACGTTAACAAGACATTGCACGTGTTTAAAATGATCAAATTAAATAAACAGTGTACACAACAACAACAACAACAATAGAAAGATATATCTACACTGGAGCTACGTTCAAATGACTGCAATAAGGCACAGTGGAAACAGACCTTCTCTCCTCTTCCCTTCCTCCCTTTCTCCTCTCCTCCCTTCCTCCTCTCCTCCCTCCTTCCTCCCTCCCTCCCCCCTCTCCCTCTGACAGCAGGCCTGAGGGTTTTGTCTCCTCGATGTTTGATTTGCACCGAGGGGAGACGCTGTTTGTTCTCCTCAATGCAGCATTTATGCTTTTGAGATTCTCCTCACGACCTTCTGCCTCCCCCGAGCGAGAGAACAAGAGAAGAGCAGTCCACCTTTCATCCAGCCCATACACACAAGGAGAGAGGGAAGGAGGGAGGATGGAGGGAGGAAGGAAGGAGGAGGGATGGAGGAAGATAATAATATAATATGTAATAATAATAATCCTGAAATGATTAAAGACTGCAGATGGAAATGAGCTATTATCTAAACTCTGGAATAATTCATCTCGTCTTTTTTCTGAGATGAACGTATTAGTATGCATGGTCCTGAAATACATACATAATAATACAAGAGGAGAGGAAGAGGAGAGGAAGGAGGGAGGAAGAGGAGAGGAAGGAAGGGAGGAAGGAGGAAGAGGAGAGGAAGGAGGGAGGAGAAGAGGAAGGAGGGGATAATATGTTCTGTATCATGTGAGGTTTCTTTCTGAGGCTCTAATGAGGGGGAGATCTGCTGTGAGCGGAGTCAGAGCGCCCCCCTGTGGAGGGTAGTGGTGCTGCTTCATACTTCGACACTACTGCATTTCAGAGGGAAATACACATATATATATATACAAATACTGCACTTCAGTATCTGACAGCTTTAGGGTTCGTTACTTTCCTGAAACTCTACTGCCTTAGTGAAGATCAAACCAGTGGGATAACTGTTACAAAAAGATATTCATCAATGTTTCACACATTTTAAGGCTGAATGAGTACTTTTACTAACGATACAACAACATTTCAACAGTACATCTCGAATACTATTCTTAAGTACATTCTTGTTGTACTTTTGACTGTAAAATGTTTCTTGTTCCAATATGATATCACCATAGAAAGAATATTTAACTACATTTTAAGGCAGAATGAGTACTTTAACATACTTATACGACAGCATTTTGTACAAGTACATCTCGAATACTATTCTTAAGTGCAATTTCAAGGTACTTGTACTTTTGACTGTAAAATGCTTCTTGATCCAATATCATATCACCATAGAAAGAATATTTAACGAGGCAGAATGAGTACTTTTACTTACTTATACAACAAATAATGTCTGTTCATATTTCTGTACTATTACTAACGGGAGATTTTAATGGCGATTCTTTTTGACTTTCACTTGGATTTTGACTTCATGATTGTAATTGTAACTGAGTATTTTTCCAACTCAATACTTACTTTATCTACTAAAGTACTTCTTCCTCCTATGATGGCTAATCTCTCCATGTTTCAGTTATATTTCCTATCTTTAAATATTGTCTTTGACTCCGTATTATCAAACACTAACTGGCTGTTTTCTGTCTTCCCGTCTCCCTCTTTCTTATCCTGATTCCCCCTGGCTCTACTTCCTTCTGTTCCTTTGTTTTACTATCCTTTACAATCCTCCCAAACCTGGCGACATCCTCCTCTTCTCCTCCTCCTTAAAGGTCCTTATCTGGTCGTATCGTGGGGGGAGTCTGGTGGTTCTTCACCCTCATCATCATATCTTCTTACACCGCTAATTTGGCTGCTTTCCTCACCGTTGAGAGGATGGTTTCTCCCATCGAGAGCGCCGAGGATCTGGCCAAACAGACGGACATCGCTTACGGGACTCTGGACTCGGGATCGACCAAAGAGTTCTTCAGGGTGAGTGTGTGCTCTCGGACAGGTAGGAGAAACACCTGAGAGAAGGCTGGTCCAGCACTTTGTAAGGACATGTTTGCTCTCCTTTACTTAACCCTAACCCTAGAGATTACAATACCTAGTCCTGATACATTTCCTCAAACTAATTCAGTAAATATACAGAATACAGAATACATTAGAACAAACTACACTAATGACGATGTTAAGGTTTTTACAGATTAAGATAGTTATAGGACACACCTGAGAAAAGGATGGTAGTGAACTTTGTAGGAACATAAGATTGGTAACAAGTCTCCATTGGTTAACCCTAACCCTAGAAAGTACAATACCTAGTCCTAATTCATGAACATATACAGAATAAATGAGAATAAACTACACCAGATGATGTTAAGGAGCAAAGGTCTTTACAGATTAAGATAGTTATGAATCTTTTTATGACGTAACGAGTACGAACAGCGGCAGGAGATTAATATATTGTATGAAATAGGCGAATAAAACATGAGATTATTAAAGAAATTAGAGGTTACATTGAATCTACATATTATATTAAGGGACTGTAGTTACACAGTGTCATACTAAGAATTTAAAACCAGAGTCTCCATTGGTTAACCCTAACCCTAGAAATGACAATACCTAGTCCTAATTCATGAACATATACAGAATAAATGAGAATAAACTACACTAGATGATGTTAAGGGGCAAAGGTCTTTACAGATTAAGATAGTTATGAATCTGTTTATCGTACACAAGTTGTAATGAAATGATCCAGGTAGATGTAACGAGCACGAACAGCGGCAGGAGATAAAGTTCTATTGTATGAAATAGGCGAATAAAACATGAGATTATTAAAGAAATTAGAGGTTACATTGAAGAAACTATCTACAGATTATATTAAGGGTACTGTAGGTACACAGTGTCATACTAAGAATGTAAAACCTGCTTGTGGTTATATTTCAAACACTTGGGCTAAGAAACAATTAGCTAAATATAAAAGTAAACATTTTTCGTGATTCACGTCAACGTTGTTTTTTAACTCTTGTTGTGGGGTGTTACCTAGTCAGATGAAACCAAGACTCTCTGCATAGATTAGATCGGGGTGTTTGAGAGAAAATGTGATTATATAGTTTGTGCAAACTGACCCAACATGTAGAATAAGTAGAGATAAGAATTAGTTCAAATGCTTCAAATCTGAATCAGTAATTCAGTTTGAGATGAGAGTCCATGTTCTTTTGCTACCAGGGTTGCAGTGGAATGATCAATTAGGTCCTATTTCCTAACCACTATATCCTAACCACTATATCCTAACCACTATATCCTAACCACCATATCCTAACCACTATTTCCCATCCACTATATCCTAAACACTATATCCTAACCACTATTTCCTATCCACTATATCCTAAACACTATATCCTAACCACTATTTCCTATCCACTATATCCTAAACACTATATCCTAACCACTATATCCACTATATCCTAACCACTATATCCTAAACACTATATCATAACCACTATATCCTAACCACTATATCCTAACCACTATATCCTAACCACTATTTCCTAACCACTATAACCACTATGTCCTAACCACTATATCCTAACCACTATAACCACTATATCCTAACCACTATTTCCTAACCACTATAACCACTATATCCTAACCACTATAACCACTATATCCTAACCACTATTTCCTAACCACTATAACCACTATTTCCTAACCACTATATCCTAACCACTATATCATAACCACTATATCCTAACCACTATATCCTAACCACTATGTCCTAACCACTATTTCCTAACCACTATAACCACTATATCCTAACCACTATAACCACTATATCCTAACCACTATATCCTAACCACTATATCCTAACCACTATAACCACTATATCCTAACCACTATAACCACTATGTCCTAACCACTATATTCTAACCACTATAACCACTATGTCCTAACCACTATATTCTAACCACAATAACCACTATATCCTAACCACTATATCCTAACCACTATAACCACTATATCCTAACCACTATATCCTAACCACTATAACCACTATATCCTAACCACTATATCCTAACAACTATATCCTAACCACTATATCCTAACCACTATAACCACTATATCCTAACCACTATATCCTAACCACTATTTCCTATCCACTATATCCTAACCACTATATCCTAAACACTATATCCTAACCACTATATCCTAACCACTATTTCCTATCCACTATATCCTAACCACTATATCCTAAACACTATATCCTAACCACTATATCCTAACCACTATATCCTAACCACTATATCCTAACCACTATATCCTAACCACTATATCCTATCCACTATATCCTATCCACTATATCATAACCACTATATCCTAACCACTATATCCTAACCACTATATCCTAACCACTATATCCTATCCACTATATCATAACCACTATTTCCTATCCACTATATCCTAACCACTATTTCCTAACCACTATAACCACTATATCCTAACCACTATTTCCTAACCACTATAACCACTATATCCTATCCACTATATCATAACCACTATTTCCTATCCACTATATCCTAACCACTATTTCCTAACCACTATAACCACTATATCCTAACCACTATAACCACTATGTCCTAACCACTATATCCTAACCACTATAACCACTATATCCTAACCACTATTTCCTAACCACTATAACCACTATATCCTAACCACTATAACCACTATATCCTAACCACTATAACCACTATAACCACTATATCCTAACCACTATAACCACTATATCCTAACCACTATATCATAACCACTATATCCTAACCACTATAACCACTATATCCTAACCACTATATCCTAACCACTATATCCTAACCACAATAACCACTATATCCTAACCACTATATCCTAACCACTATATCCTAACCACTATAACCACTATATCCTAACCACTATAACCACTATGTCCTAACCACTATATTCTAACCACTATAACCACTATATCCTAACCACTATATCCTAACCACTATAACCACTATATCCTAACCACTATTTCCTAACCACTATAACCACTATATCCTAACCACTATATCCTAACCACTATAACCACTATATCCTAACCACTATTTCCTATCCACTATATCCTAACCACTATATCCTAAACACTATATCATAACCACTATTTCCTATCCACTATATCCTAACCACTATATCCTAACCACTATAACCACTATGTCCTAACCACTATATCCTAACCACTATTTCCTATCCACTATATCCTAACCACTATATCCTAAACACTATATCCTAACCACTATATCCTAACCACTATAACCACTATATCCTAACCACTATTTCCTAACCACTATAACCACTATATCCTAACCACTATAACCACTATATCCTAACCACTATTTCCTAACCACTATAACCACTATGTCCTAACCACTATTTCCTAACCACTATAACCACTATGTCCTAACCACTATATTCTAACCACTATATCCTAACTACTATTTCCTAACCACTATAACCACTATATCCTAACCACTATATCCTAACCACTATAACCACTATATCCTAACCACTATATCCTAAACACTATATCCTAACCACTATATCCTAACCACTATAACCACTATATCCTAACCACTATTTCCTAACCACTATAACCACTATGTCCTAACCACTATATTCTAACCACTATAACCACTATATCCTAACCACTATTTCCTAACCACTATAACCACTATATCCTAACCACTATATCCTAACCACTATAACCACTATATCCTAACCACTATATCCTAACCACTATAACCACTATATCCTAAACACTATATCCTAACCACTATTTCCTAACCACTATAACCACTATATCCTAAACACTATATCCTAACCACTATTTCCTAACCACTATAACGACTATATCCTAAACACTATATCCTAACCACTATATATCCTAGCCACTATAAAGCTAAAATGACAGTTCGACCTCAGCCCTGGTTGCTGTGTGCGTACATGTTGTCTCTCCCTTCCCTCCATCTCTCACACCTCGACTCCCTAACAAACCTCCACAGCGGTCGAAAATCGCCGTCTACGAGAAGATGTGGGGCTACATGAAGTCTGCCGAGCCCACCGTGTTCACGAAGACGACCGGAGAGGGAGTGGTTCGCGTCCGAAAGTCTAAAGGGAAATACGCCTTTCTGCTGGAGTCCACGATGAACGAGTACACGGAACAAAGGAAGCCCTGCGACACGATGAAAGTGGGAGGGAACCTCGACTCCAAAGGATACGGAGTAGCAACGCCGAAGGGTTCACAGTTAAGGTGGGTGGAATAGTGTAACAATATGTGCTACGTGTTGTTATGGTATTCCACCTTCCCTGGTGTGCCGCCTTTATCTTAATCTTAATCTTTGCTTTGGTGTGGGGAGGGTTACTCCGGGTTAACTTTCTGAAAACTAGTCAGGAAACACACCAGGGAGAAAAACACTTAAATGAAGGCTGTATTTTCACACGGCTCTGCAAACAAACATCACAAGTATCAGCTGTTTCTGAGCAATTGCAAAACGCACGCTTAAAGTTCCCCTGTTATACTGTTTTCATCAATATATCACAGGTCTCAGATATATCCAGAGCCTGTCTCTGATTGGCGGAAACACCAAACAGATCCTTGCAGCATTACCCATAATCCCCTCTGTTTCAGCCCTGTTTCAAAAGTGCTGATTCTCTGTCTGTTACTTTAGATGAAAATAAGGAGCCCCTCCCCACGCCCCTCTGAGAGAGATTTGGTTACAAAGAACTCAATGGTGCTCTAGGAGGAGATTCAGGTGATAAGGTGGGGGGGGGTTACCTTGGTTGCTGATTGGCTAATGGTTACACAAGACAAAAAATCGTTATGACATCATCAAGTGGCCAAAATCTGATCAGCTCATTTTCAGACAGGTTTTTAAAGAAATGGATCAAAAAGAGAGAGAATCTTTGTTCCTGAAACTTTCAGAGTCTCTTTCCACAGAGGGGACACATGTTGATGAAGAAGAGGGGACACATGTTGATGAAGAAGAGACATGAAGAAGAGGGGACACATGTTGATGTAGAAGAGACATGAAGAAGAGGGGACACATGTTGATGTAGAAGAGACATGAAGAAGAGGGGACACATGTTGATGTAGAAGAGACATGAAGAAGAGGGGACACATGTTGATGTAGAAGAGACATGAAGAAGAGGGGACACATGTTGATGAAGAAGAGACATGAAGAAGAGGGGACACATGCTGATGAAGAAGAGACGTGAAGAAGAGGGGACACATGTTGATGAAGAAGAGACATGAAGAAGAGGGGACACATGTTGATGTAGAAGAGACATGAAGAAGAGGGGACACATGTTGATGTAGAAGAGACATGAAGAAGAGGGGACACATGTTGATGAAGAAGAGACATGAAGAAGAGGGGACACATGTTGATGTAGAAGAGACATGAAGAAGAGGGGACACATGTTGATGAAGAAGAGACATGAAGAAGAGGGGACACATGTTGATGTAGAAGAGACATGAAGAAGAGGGGACACATGTTGATGTAGAAGAGACATGAAGAAGAGGGGACACATGTTGATGTAGAAGAGACATGAAGAAGAGGGGACACATGTTGATGTAGAAGAGACATGAAGAAGAGGGGACACATGTTGATGAAGAAGAGACATGGAGAAGAGGGGACACATGTTGATGTAGAAGAGACATGAAGAAGAGGGGACACATGTTGATGAAGAAGAGACATGGAGAAGAGGGGACACATGTTGATGTAGAAGAGACATGAAGAAGAGGGGACACATGTTGATGAAGAAGAGACATGGAGAAGAGGGGACACATGTTGATGTAGAGGAGACATGAAGAAGAGGGGACACATGGTGATGAAGAGGAGACATGAAGAAGTGGATTTTGCATAATAGGAGACCTTTAACAAATCTCTCTCCACTATTTCCACCACAGCTCAGTGAAACTCACACACTACCTATTTTCATGGACGCTTTATGCAAGTCAATCATGTTTTTCCAGTGCAGCTTATTGCTCAGAAATCCTGTGAGCTTTGAATTGGCCGACGTTTAAACACAACCGAAAAACGGGTCCAAATTATTCCACCTTCCCTGGTGTGCCGCCTTTTCTTAATCTTAATCTTCGCTTTGGTGTGGGTGGGTTACTTTGGGGGGTTTCTGTGTTCGTTTTTTAGGGCAGAAATTGTTGCTTTTTGTCATCCGTGTTAAGTGCATGCTCGTGATCGTGATCATGCAGGGGTGGTTACTTCATTTCTCTTTTTCCACAGCTCTCCACAGCAGGTAAATCTGTGTGTGCTCGTGCTCGCTTGTTGGAATGGCATGCTCGAGGCTGTTGTAAAACTTCTGGAAATCTATTATTTAGACAAATGAAACTTTTAGACAACATGCATTTTGTATATGTACAGATGTAATTATCAGAGATGTGTTACGCTAATGCTACTTCAGCTTCCCTTCATGCTCCACTGCTGCAGTGTTTTGGAGCCGTTTGAATGCTCAGCCAACTGTAACTCTGCCTCCTGCACACTGTTCTCACTGTGGGGAGTTGCTCTCTCAATCCACAGCCTCATCAATCAAAAAGCCCCGCGGCGAGGTCTCACTGAAGGGATACATGTAGGAAATTCAAAAACTTCACAAGTGTGTAAACCAGCTCCATGATGGCTTCAAAGCTTTCAAAGATGTAATGTCGTATGCACATTAGAGCGGTGCAGGGATGATGTATTTTTGTAGTTAGCATTGCCCAGGTTCCCTCAACAAAAAGCCAATTGGATTTTGGATTATTGCAGAAAATATTCTCTTTGGAAAACAAACGTTTAGGATAATCTCCACATATTAACACCACTTTATGATTTCTGAAGTAAAAAGCTAACGTTAGGCTATAAAGGAACTACAGCACGGTCACGGTGGTGAAGTCACATGACTTCTACTGGTTTGCTTTGAGCAGGAAGAGTCCCTGACAGTAGTCGCCCTTTCCTCCTGCTTTACGGGGACTCCATCTTGTTTTTTTTAGTGGCATTACGATCCTCTGTCAGTCACTTTTCCAAAAAAACGGACAGGAAACACAACAAGAAGCAACACAGTTAATCAAGGCTGAAATTTCACACGGCTCTGCAAACAAACATCCAAAATATCAGCTGTTTCTCATCCATTGCTGACTGTTTTTATTTTCATAATGATGCTAATAACTTTTAAAAGGAGCAAAACGCACGCTTAACAAAATCTCTCTCCACTATTTCCACCACAGCACGGTGAAACTCACACACACACACACAACCTATTTTCAATGGCTTTTCATGGACGTTTTATGCAAGTCAATCATGTTTTTTCCAGAGCAGCTTATTGCTCAGAAATCCTGTGAGCTTTGAATTGGCCGACGTTTAAACACAAGTGTAAAACCGGTCCAAATGATTTGGCTGTTCTCAAAACGCTGGCTGGTGCAGATATTTTGAGGATGTTAATTAATGCCAACGTTCGGTGCCAGTAATTATTGTTGAAGACGTATCACATGGCAAAGGAAAATAAACTATCAATTACTCAATTAGCTTTCTCTATGTTTTTGTCTTTGCTAGGGTAGAAATAACAACATGTTTCATTTACATATATATACTTACAATCTAATTTGTGTAATTGTTTCCTGCAATTCCCAATCTGTAGATAATTTAAAGCAAACCCATTTCTATTAGTGAACCATAGTTTTCATTTGAAGGCTTTATTGTCATGTGCACAGTAGCTACAGCGTAGATATGGCTCCTCCAACAATGCAACATGAATATATATAGGACATAAAACAAATAAAACCAATACAAATAGTGAAAGAAATAACAGAAAATAAATAAAATAGTGCAAGAGATTATCGTCACAGATAATCCAGATTTTTATTATTTCACTTTGATCGTTTTTTAAGCATTACATTTAACAAACTTTGGTGTTTAATTAAACAGACAATGGCGTAAGTAAAAGGAAACTGAATGCCTGCACTACATTTTTAGCCTAATCTATGATAGAAGTTAGTGAATGGATCATCCTCTTGGGACCATGCATGTCCACTTGTTGAGATAATGGAGGATATATTTTGTTAAGGGTAAATATTAGAGAATAACCTGGAAAAAAAGATTGCAATGTCATTGTTGAAGTTATTTGTGAAGCAAAAACATATTATTCCTAATCTTCTGTATGGTTTAATCAGATATAGCCTATAGCATAAGCTAATGCTAACATTACAACTCTGAGTTGAATGGAAAACTATCTTTTAGACATTTTAAGCTGGTTGGTTTGACAGGAAGTATTGACCCTTTATTTTAAGTTAAACTAATCAACTTGTCAAAGTCAACTTTATTGTCAATCTTTCAGAGAGATCGAAAAACCGTTTCCAACAATCCCGAATACAAAAAAATATATATATAAAAATGTGTATGCAAATATGTATATACCTATATATATACACAATCAAAAGACACATTTATACATATGCACACATTAAGACCTAAATAAAAGCACAACAATCAATATATACAAAATAACACTGCAGACGGCACGTTAGAGGAGAGAGATGTTTGTTGAGTGTGTGTTCTGTTCTTGGGATGTATTCATTTAAAGCATTTCTGCATTGTCCACCCTTGTCCCTCTCCTACTGCTACTCCTCCCTTTTAACCCCCCCCCCTTACCCCTTCTCCCCCCTTTCCCTCCCTAAAATTGGACGGCATACTCACCCCCTCTCACCAAATATGTTTTATCGTTTTCAAGAAGCGCAGTTAACCTGGCAGTGTTAAAACTCAATGAGCAAGGCCTGTTGGACAAATTGAAAAACAAGTGGTGGTACGACAAAGGAGAGTGTGGCAGCGGAGGCGGTGGCGAGAAGGTTAGCTTTGGTTAGCTACGTAGCTTTGCCCATGTGACCTGATGTGGGGAAAAGAGAAATGTGTTTTTGTTGCTAACAGGAGCATCTGCCGGGACGCCCCCCCCCCCCCCCCCCCAGTTACTTTTTAAAGGCTAGAAAAGTTTTAAAAATGAGAGGAGAGCGAGTACTGTCGAAGCAAAAATATGTGCGATATGTTACAATATGATACGATACGGTATAAAACAATATGATACAATACAATATGTTCCGATACGATTCAATAGGATACGATACAATACGATAAAATACACTACGATACGATACAATACGATACGATACAATATGATACAATACGATTCAATACGATACAATACGATACACTACGATACGATACAATATGATACAATACAATACAATATGATATAATACGATTCAATACGACACAATACGATACACTACGATACAATACTATACTAGACGATATGATACGATACAATACGATACGATACAATATGATACAGTACGATACACTACGATACAATACTATACTATACGATATGATACGATACAATACGATACGATACAATATGATACAGTACGATACACTACGATACAATACTATACTATACGATTCAATACGATACAATACGATACACTACGATACGATACAATATGATACAATACAATACAATATGATATAATACGATTCAATACGACACAATACGATACACTACGATACAATACTATACTATACGATATGATACGATACAATACGATACGATACAATATGATACAGTACGATACACTACGATACAATACTATACTATACGATATGATACGATACAATACGATACAATACGATTCAATACGATACAATACGATACACTACGATACGATACAATACGATACAATACAATACAATATGATATAATACGATTCAATACGACACAATACGATACACTACGATACAATACTATACTATACGATATGATACGATACAATACGATACGATACAATATGATACAGTACGATACACTACGATACAATACGATACACTACGATACAATACGATACAATACGATACAATACACTACGATACAATACGATACAATACGATACAATACGATACACTACGATACAATACGATACGATACAATACGATACGATACGATACAATACGATACAATACGATACAATACGATACACTACGATACAATACGATACACTACGATACAATACGATACAATACGATACAATACGATACAATACGATACACTACGATACAATACGATACAATATGATACAATACAATACAATATGATATAATACGATTCAATACGACACAATACGAAACACTACGATACAATACTATACTATACGATATGATACGATACAATACGATACAATACGATACACTACGATACAATACGATACAATACGATACGATACAATACGATACACTACGATACAATACTATACTATACGATATGATACGATACAATATGATACAATACGATACACTACGATACAATACGATACACTACGATACAATACGATACACTACGATACACTACGATACACTACGATACAATACGATACGATACAATACGATACGATACGATACAATACGATACAATACGATACACTACGATACAATACGATACAATACGATACACTACGATACAATATGATACAATACGATACACTACGATACAATACAATACAATACGATACACTACGATACAATACAATACTATACTATACAATATGATACAATACAATACGATACACTACGATACAATACGATACAATACAATACAATATGTTCCGATACGATTCAATAGGATACGATACAATATGATACAATACGATACACTACGATACAATATGATACAATATGATACAATATGATACAATACGATACACTACGATACAATATGATACAATATGATACGATACAATACGATACACTACGATACAATATGATACAATATGATACACTACGATACAATACGATACACTACGATACAATATGATACAATACGATACAATACGATACACTACGATACAATATGATACAATATGATACGATACAATATGATACACTACGATACAATACGATACACTACGATACAATATGATACAATATGATACACTACGATACAATATGATACACTACGATACACTACGATACACTACGATACAATACAATACAATACGATACACTACGATACAATATGATACAATATGATACGATACAATACGATACACTACGATACAATACGATACAATACAATACAATATGATACAATACGATACACTACGATACACTACGATACAATATGATACACTACGATACAATACAATACGATACACTACGATACAATACTATACTGTACAATATGATACAATACAATACAATACGATACGATACTATACTATACAATATGACACAATACAATACAATACTATACTATACAATATGATACAATACAATACGATACACTACGATACAATACGATACAATACAATACAATACAATACAATATGATAGGATACAATATGATACACTACGATACAATACGATACACTACGATACAATATGATGCGATACAATATGATACAATACGATACACTACGATACAATATGATACAATATGATACGATACAATATGATACAATATGATACAATATGATACAATATGATACGATACAATATGATACAATACGATACACTACGATACAATACGATACAATATGATACACTACGATACAATACGATACACTACGATACAATATGATGCGATACAATATGATACAATACGATACACTACGATACAATATAATACAATATGATACGATACAATATGATACACTACGATACAATACGATACACTACGATACAATACGATACACTACGATACAATACGATACACTACGATACAATATGATACGATACGATACGATACAATACGATACAATACGATACACTACGATACAATACGATACAATACGATACACTACGATACAATATGATACAATACGATACACTACGATACAATACAATACAATACGATACACTACGATACAATACAATACTATACTATACAATATGATACAATACAATACGATACACTACGATACAATACGATACAATACAATACAATATGTTCCGATACGATTCAATAGGATACGATACAATATGATACAATACGATACACTACGATACAATATGATACAATATGATACACTACGATACAATACAATACAATATGATACGATACAATATGATACACTACGATACACTACGATACAATATGATACGATACAATATGATACACTACGATACAATATGATACACTACGATACAATATGATACAATACGATACACTACGATACAATATGATACAATATGATACGATACAATACGATACACTACGATACAATATGATACAATATGATACACTACGATACAATACGATACACTACGATACAATATGATACAATACGATACAATACGATACACTACGATACAATATGATACAATATGATACGATACAATATGATACACTACGATACAATACGATACACTACGATACAATATGATACAATATGATACACTACGATACAATATGATACACTACGATACACTACGATACACTACGATACAATACAATACAATACGATACACTACGATACAATATGATACAATATGATACGATACAATACGATACACTACGATACAATACGATACAATACAATACAATATGATACAATACGATACACTACGATACACTACGATACAATATGATACACTACGATACAATACAATACGATACACTACGATACAATACTATACTGTACAATATGATACAATACAATACAATACGATACGATACTATACTATACAATATGATACAATACAATACAATACTATACTATACAATATGATACAATACAATACGATACACTACGATACAATACGATACAATACAATACAATACAATACAATATGATAGGATACAATATGATACACTACGATACAATACGATACACTACGATACAATATGATGCGATACAATATGATACAATACGATACACTACGATACAATATGATACAATATGATACGATACAATATGATACAATATGATACAATATGATACAATATGATACGATACAATATGATACAATACGATACACTACGATACAATACGATACAATATGATACACTACGATACAATACGATACACTACGATACAATATGATGCGATACAATATGATACAATACGATACACTACGATACAATATAATACAATATGATACGATACAATATGATACACTACGATACAATACGATACACTACGATACAATACGATACACTACGATACAATACGATACACTACGATACAATATGATACAATATGATACAATATGATGCACTACGATACAATACGATACACTACGATACAATATGATACAATACGATACACTACGATACAATATGATACAATATGATACGATACAATATGATACACTACGATACAATACGATACACTACGATACAATATGATACAATATGATACGATACAATATGATACACTACGATACAATACGATACAATACAATACAATATGATACAATACGATACACTACGATACACTACGATACAATATGATACACTACGATACAATACAATACGATACACTACGATACAATACTATACTGTACAATATGATACAATACAATACGATACGATACTATACTATACAATATGATACAATACAATACAATACTATACTATACAATATGATACAATACAATACGATACACTACGATACAATACGATACAATACAATACAATATGATACAATATGATACACTACAATACAATACAATACAATATGATACGATACAATATGATACACTACGATACAATACGATACACTACGATACAATATGATGCGATACAATATGATACAATACGATACACTACGATACAATATGATACAATATGATACGA